TGGGAAACCAATCGCCCCCCCCCCCCCCACCCCCACCATTTTACCTTTCGCCTGGGCAGCGCGTCTGTCTAGACCCGCAGGTGGGGATTACGCGAAGCGTCAAATATTTCTCCTTCATCATGTGCATTGTCGAGTTACCGAGGTTGACCACGCACAATGATCTGTGTGGGTTGTCACCCTCGGCAACGATCGACGCGACCGCGTCCTTGAGATTACGCTGGGCCGTCTGACCACTAGGAATATCTAAAGTTTGGCCACGAATTTTGGTGTCCAGCAGCGTCTTGAGAGGAATCGCATCAATGGGCTCAGGGAAGGGGTCGAACTCGTCCTGCACCAAGTCCGAACGCATACCAATCAGATACATCCGCTGCCGGCTGTGGGGGATCCCATGCTCGCTAGTATCCAACACTTTCAACTATGTTTTGTATTGGCCTGTGCGTTTGATAGAGGCGACCATCTTCATCAAAAACGGGCGGAACTTGTCATTCTCCATCAGCGCTGGAACATTTTCAAATGCGAATATATTGGGCGTGTGCGCGGTAATGTACTTGGTGCGATACTTCCCCATATGGCCCCTCCCCTGTTCATCGCCCTCTCCCTCTTGCTTGCCCTGCAAAGACCAGGGCTGGCAAGGAAAGCCAGCGACGTAGAGATCTACGTGTTCAAGGTCGGACATGGAAACTTTTGTGATGTCATCGTGCAAGCGTTCGCAATGCGTGTTCTGGCGGATCACGTCCTGGCAAGGGCGGCTCCATTCAATTGAAAAGGCGTGTCTGAACTTCAACCCGAGGGCCTTCAAGGTAAAGTGCGGGGTGTCCGTCCCCGCGAAAGCGGTTCCGAGGGACATCATCATGGGGGCCTTCTTGGGGAATGGAGAAAAAAACCGGATTCCCCCTCTTCCTCCTCGTTGCTCCTCCTTCTCCTCCTCCATTCTCCCCCTCCTCTTCCTCATCCTCCCCCTCCTCCTCCTGCCCCCCCCCCCCTTCTTCCCCCCATGCCCCCCCCCCCTCCTGCCCTCGCCCCCCCCCCCCTCTTTTGCCCGCCCCCATGTCTCCCACGAGGAGGGGGGGAGGCGAACGGGACGCGCGGAGGAGAGTGAGAGACGGGAGAATGCTATTTTTTTCTTTTTTTATTTTAGGAATGTTTCTTTTTGTTTTTTTTTTAGGCTTTTTAGGAAAGGAGGGGGGGGGAAGGAGGATCAGCGGGCTGCCTCTCCTCTCCCTCCTCGTTCCATCCGTGGTCCTTCTTTGCTGGCCTCTTCCGGACGCATCCCTTCTGCGCCGAAGCCACGGCTGCAGGGGCTGCTTTCCCCATGATGGCGCACAGTCCGCCGGCTGCGGCGGCTGGGCCAGGACCGAGCGGGGGCCAGGGGCAGCGACTCCTTAGAGCAGTGACGATGGTAACGAGAGCGATCACGATGACGATGTTGACGATGATTACGATGCTGATGATGATGATGATGATGATAATGATGATGATAACGATGATGCTGATGATGATGATGATAATGATGCTGATGATCGTGGCGGTTGCTTCGACTACAATTAAAATTATTACTATTATTATTATCCCCCTCCCCCATCTTCCCTTGGCGATCTCTGACCACGGGCTCCTGGATCTGGCGCGATTTCCTGGATGTTCTGGATCGTCCCGCGGACCACCGCTCACGGTTGACTCGCCGCGAGGGTCGTCGGCCAGTGGTTCTCGCGCCCGCAGCCTAGCCGGGCAGCGCATGGCATTGCGCATGGCCGAGAGGGAGGAGGGAGGGTGAGGGGAAGGGGAGGGGGGAGGATGGGGGGGGAAGGAGGAGGCAAGGCCCGGCAGCGCGAGGGAGGAGGGTCAGGGGCAAGACGGCCGCGCACCTACTAAGCAGAAAACGACCGCTCAATATCAAGCTCGTTGTGGCGTGCGCGTGCGCGTGAACGGAATATTGAGTGAATGCCATTGCCGATTGATATCGAGCAGTCCCCAGGACAACCATGATGACCTGGTGGTAGCCAGCGTTGACTGGCGTCGCTGGCCCCCCCACTCACTCCTCCTCGCCGTCGCTCATGGAGTCCTCCTCCTCGAGGTCCTCGTCCTCCTGGCCATCGGCGCCCTTCAGGTTGTCGAGCATGTCCATCAGAGCAGCCTTGGACCCAGCAGCAGCGGCCTCCCCCCCCTTCTTGGCCTTCTTCTTGGGCGAGCCTGCTGCTGGATCCGTCTTGCCACCGTCGGCAGCCCTCTTCTTGCCCCCCTTCAGTTTCTTCGCCGGCTGCTCGCCCTCCCCGGGCTGGCCCTCGCCCTCGGTGTTCTTGTTCTCGGAAGTGTTCTTATTGAGCTTGGGCTTCGGGGCAGCAGTAGGCCTCGCAACGGTCGATGCGACCTTGGCCAAGGCCGGGTCGTACAGGGGGTTGTTCTCGTCGATGAAGCCGTTGAAGATCTCCGAGGATATCTGATCGTAGAGTTTGTTGGCGTGCAGCTGAGTAAAGCAAATCCCGACGTACTGCTTGCGGGCCCACACGTGCGCCTTGGCCGCGTTCCCCACGCCCGCGTTGCAGTCGATGGTGGCGCGCACTGGGAGATCCTCGAGCAGCATCGCGTAGTATTGCACCGGCATCACATGGTAGAGCGCAGGCTCCTTGCCCGCGGCGTCGCGCGGCAGAGGGCCCGCCCCCTCGCAGGGGCCGCCCACTTCAATGCGGTGGCCACTCAACATCTGGCGCTTCACGGAAGCTTCCTCGTGCCACGTGGAAGCCCACGTCTGGAACATCATCGGGCCGATGCTGTCGCCTCGGTTGGTCCTGCTCAGCCCGTTGAAGTGGTTCCTCCTGCGCTCGGGGATCTCGAGCGGGCTCTGCGCCCAAATGCTCGCCGTCTCCAACTGCGAGAAGCTGCCGCGCACTATGTTGAGCCGGTCCCTGAAGCACTCCTCCGAGTAGATGATGTTGAGGCGGCGCGTCTCCTTGCGCATCTGGCGGGGCTTCGCGCCCGTCTCGTCCACGAACACGTTCGCAGCGTGGCCCTCGTTGCCTGCGCGGGGCACGCAAACAGGAGATGATGCACGAGGAGGGCAGGGCGAATGGGGAGGGCGACGCGATGGGGAGAGGGGGGGGGAGAAGAGTGAGGATAAGGAGCAGGGAGAGGGGGGGGCGAGATGGATGACGAAACAAAGATGGCAAAGGAGAGGGGGAACAAGGAGAGAGGGCGACGACGGATATTGAGGACAAGAAGAAGAAGAAGCGAGGACGACAGATGAGAGGCATGGGGTGGGTAGGAGGAAGGCCTCTCTTGAAGCCATCGTGCCACATGAACGCCATGTCCTGAGGGACCTCCGTGGGCCCGGCCTCCCGCGTCCGCGGGATCGCCGTGAACAGCTTCTTGGCGCGGGCCACCGAGAACGGCGCGATCCTCGGGGACCGACCGCGGCAGGGGGGGCGACGACGCAGACAGAAGACGACGACGACAATGGCAACCCAGAAGAGGCACGGGGTCTCCCCCCCGAGGAGAAGGACCAGGAGGAGGGAGGAGGAAGAAAGGATGATGAGGGGGGCAGGAAATGACCAGGAGGAGTAGGAGGAGATGGACCGGATGGGGGGAGAGGAGGGGGGCAAGGGGAGGAGGAGGAGGATGCAGAGGAGCAAGAGGAGAGCGGCGGCGGGCCAGCTCAGCTCGATCCGCCGTCGCCCCCATCTCAGGCTTCCCCCAGCCAGCGGCATCTCACCTCCTCATTTCCCCCTTCTCCGTCTCCTTCTTCTCCCTTCTCATTCTCCTCGTCGTCATCCTTCTCCTGCCTGCCATCCTCCTTTTTCTTCAAATCTGCCTTTCCGTCTTCGTTCGTTGGCACAGAGCTCCTGACGTGGGGGTTTGCCGTCGCCTCGCCAGCGAGCTTGACGTCGTCCAGCACCAGGATGTACTCGCCAGCCTTGCGACGTTGGCAGGGCGAAAACGTCGCAGTTTCCATGACAGGTCCTGGTGTTCAGAGGTTTGGGATCCAAGGTAAAAGTGGGGCCCCTGGATCCGAAATATAAATGTCGGGAACATTTGGATTGCCGCCTCCTCATTATTCTCCCCATCATCCCCCTCTCCTCGTCCTTCTTCTACCTCTTCTCCTCCTTCTCCTCAGTCCCCTCCGCCTCGTCATTCCCCCCGTCTCATGATTTCCCCCATCGTCCGCCTGCTCCTCCTCCTCATCCCCCCTCTACTTCTCCCACCACTCCCCCCCTCCTCCCCCCCCCTCACCACCCGCCAGCAACACCTCGCGAGTTCCGCGCAGTCTGGCCACTGCGGTCTCGGACAACGCCTGGTACATCGCCTCCTCGGACTTCGCCTCCACGATGAGCGCGACGAAGGTCCGAGTCAGCCGCCACGCCTCGTCTTGCTTCTTGGCGACGCGATCCACGTCGTCGGACGAGAGGCTCGTCCTAACCCGGCCCAGCGCCTCGGCGTCGAGCCCCGTCGACCTCAAGATGACGATCGCCTTGTCGATGGGGTCCTCCTCCCCGGGCTCGGCCGCGTCCGCCTTGGCCTTCTCGATGGCCGCCGCGTCAACAATCTTGGTCGTTTGCGCCTCCCTCTCCGCGTCGTTCAACTTCTGGGTCTCTACCTCCACGGCGTCGTCCACAACCTGGAACGCGCCCTTCAGACTGCCGTGGTTGGCCGCGTCCTCGGGGGTTTTGCGCTTCCGCATGGCGCCCGCCAAGCTCTCGGAATGGGCGTCGCTGTACACGGCGTCCTGGTGCATGGAAGAAAAATCACGGGGGCATGGGCGGGTGAGGATGCGGAGGAGCAGGACACGGGGGCAACGCGAGGAGGAGGAGGGAGGGGGAGGAGAGGAGGATGAGGAGAAGAGGAAGGAGGAGGAAAAGGAGGATGACATGATGAGGAGGTGGAAGAGCATAGAAATGCACGAGATGGGATGAGGAGGTAGGATGAGGAGGAATGACAATGAGAAGATGGTGAGGGTGACCCATGAGGATACGAAGACGACAACAGAGAGAGAGAGATAAGGGGGGTTGTGGTCATTGTCGCCGCCGTCGTCGGCGGTCCTCGAAGAGCTCCAGCGCCGCGAGGGCGGGCTTGCCGAGCTCGGCCTGCCAAGTGATATCGACGTGAGAATTGTCCATGGACCGGCACCCGCACTTCTCGCGCAACGTGGCGAAGTCACGCGTCACGTCGCGGATGATGTCCTTCTCGGCGTTGGTGATGGCCTTCAGCCTGCGGGGGACAGTTAGTTGAGAGGGGAGGAGTTGTTGGAGGAGGAGGTGAGTGGACGAGTGGAGGGGGAGTTGGAGAGAGGAGGGGGAGGAGGAGAAGCAGGAGGAGGAGGAGGAGGAGGGGGGACTTCCGAATGGATTTCGGCTCAGCCTCGTGAGCCACTCCTGGCGCATCCACTGCTTCACGTCCCTCTTGAACAGCACCTCGTCGATGACGCCCTTGCCCATCTGCCCGGCCCCATAGCCCTGCAGCTCGCGCAGGGGGAGGGTGACGATCATTTTGTGGATGAAGGCGTCAGCCAGGGCTAAGAACACGTACTCGATGTTCTCCTCGGTCTTGGCCTTGGAGATGATGGTCTGGAGCTTGGTGATCGAATCGAAGAGCGACCGGTGAGAATGGGACTCGTCCAGCTGGCGAACTGCGTGCAAGACGCTCGGAATGCTGAGCGCCCTGCTCCAGACGGTGAGCGCGGAGTCCACGAAAGAAAATGTAATCTCCTCCTGGCTATCAGCAAGCTTCGACTTCGTATTGTACAACTCCACGAGTTCGCCAGCGCTGATTTCCCTGCCATTGGATTGCTCCAGCTGCGCCTTCAGGTTGGCGATCTCGCACACCTCCTGGAACGCTGTCCTGGCCAATGAATCGTGCTCCTGGACGATCGTGTTCCTGAGCGTCTTGGCCTTGAAAAAAATTAAATCATCATCGTAGGCGGTGAACTTCATGGTCACTGTCAGGAACAATGTCTTCCAGGCGGCGAGGACATCGTCGGACTTTCCGGCGCGGATGTCTCTGGCGCACGCCCAGTAGGCCGCGTGGACAGCCTCCTCTGGGGAGATCAAGCCGTAGGTGCCCAGGTCTTTCTTGTCCACCTTGCCGCCAGAGACGTTCACAATTATGATCCCCTCGTAGTACCCGGGGGCCTCGCCATCCGGGTAGAGGAACTCCGCCAGGGCCTCGGTCGTCCGATGCCGGCAGGGGACCCCCTTTGCAGCTACATTCAAGCAGTCGGCCCAGAAGATGTTGGCGCCGCACTGGTACTGCTTCGCAGTGGCCATCGCGGCGTCGCACAAGGCCTGGTCAAAGGCGACCTGAAAACCAACCCCGCCCCCGTCCGGCACCTCGCGGTTGATGGGCAAGGGGTCCAAAGATTGGATGTTGGCGAACGCCGGGTGGTCCGTGATCGTCTTCACGAGCTCCTGAATGTTCGCATTGTAGTCGGCGTTCATCGTCTTCTTCTGGATCTCGGCCGGCTCCAGAGGGGCCACGATGACATCAGGATCAGCAGCCGCCGCCCCGCCGCCGCGGCCCCTGCCACCGCGCCCACCGCGGCCCCTGCCAGCAGCCGTGATCTTCTTGACAGCAGCACCGCGGCTTCCCTTGGGCGCCATGGATGCAGCGCGAGGTGGTGTGAGTGAATTTATTCCGTGAGCTGGGTGCTGCGAGCTCGCAGCGATTCTTGTCGCGATTGACTGAGCTCGGTGGGGCCGAGTCAAGCTGCCAAAGAAAGAAAGAGGATGACGACCGCCAACATGGGAGGAGGATGGATAAACATATGAGACGGAAGAAGGGGGCGAGGTTGAAGGCGGGGAGGGGGGGGCAGAGGGGGAAAGACACGCAGGGCGAGAAGAGAGAAGAGAGGCAAACAGAGAGACAGAGGCAGAGACAAAATAAGAAAGGGGAGGAAGGAGAGGGACAAGGAGAAGGAAGAGACGCACTGCTTAAGGTCCCAGTGGCAGCCGCACTCTCCAGGAACCGGGACGACCCTCTTGTTGAGAGCGACCTCGGCATTCGGAGTCTGGCTCAACAAACCCTTGCGCAAGGGTCTGTTGAGGGAATGTCGGAATCAAGCTGTTAGGAGCAGGCGCCCACGTTGAGGGCGCGCGCCAGTATAGGTCTCTATCTCAACATAGCCCCTCCTGAGCAGCAGAGCCAAAACGCACTTACTCTCAACAGACCCTTGCGCAAGGGTATGTTGAGAGAGAGCCGACATTCCAGACTCTGTCTCAACAGTCTGGACCCTGTTGGCCCTGTAGGGTGCGCGCGCCCAGCGCTCAGCGGGGGGCTCTCAACAGACCCTTGCGCGAGGGTCTGTTGAGAGACCCCCTCGCTACCGCCCATTTCCCTCGCTATCGCTGCGTAACATGTGCCCCTCGCTATCGCTATCGCCCCGTGCTATCGCTATCGCCCCTCGCTATCGCTATCATTATCATCCCTCGCTATCGCTATCGCTACCACCCCCCTCGTTATCGCTACCATCCCTCGCTATCGCTATCACCCCTCACCATCGTCGCTACCAATCGCCATCCACCATCGCGTCGTCGTGCTCATCATTCATCGTCGTCACCACGCTCCGTCTGCTGCGTCATCCCCCCCCCTCGCGCGCCCTCTTCTCAACAGACCCGGCGGTCCTCAGCAGGCAGGGGGGCGCTAGCGACGCGTGGCGGCGGCGGCGAGCTGCGATAGCGATATTGAGGCGCGATAGCGATAGCGAGGTCAGGCATCGGTAGCGATGGGCAGCCGTGACGATAGCGATGAAGCTCTCAACAGACCCTTGCGCAAGGGTCTGTTGAGGGCCTGCCCTGATTCAGAAGCGCCCCTCAACAGGGGTGGCGATGGCGATAGCAAGGGGCGATAGCGAGGCGTGATAGCGATGGTGGTACGGGGCGATAGCGATAGCGAGGGGCGATAGCGATAGCGATATCAGGGGCGATAGCAGGGGCGATAGCGATAGCGAGGGGCGATAGCGATAGCGAGGGCGATAGCGATAGCGAGGGGCGATATCGATGACGAGAGGCAATAGCGATAGCGAGGGGCGATAGCGATAGCGAGGGGGGGGGGGCAGTAGCAGCACCATAATAGAATAGCAGTAGCGACTGATGCGCAACAACAAGGGCGATGCCCTTCCTCCAGGTCGCCTCACTTCCCCCTCAGGCGCCCAGGGGCCCACGAGGAGGGGGGGTCAGTCAGGGGGGGGGATGGGGGGGATGAGGAGGAGGGTGAGAGGACGGGGGGGATGGGGGGGAGTAGGAGGAGTCAGATGGTGAGGAGGAGGAGTAGGGGAGGGGGGGAGGGGGTCGACGCGCTCGCCAACCCCCTGGGGTATGTTTTTTTTGTTTCCCCACGACGTCGACGTAAACTGGCCCAGGCAAGAAATTATCACCAGCGATGGTGTCGGGGCCTCTCATGATGGGGGCTGAAAAATCAGATCTTCGGACGATGCGTTCAACCGCCCGCGCCCCGAGGAGACGATCGCCTACTACTGCCTGAGCTGTCCTGGGCCGCTCCGTAAGAAGCAGAAGAAGAAGGCTGCCCCGCCTCATCATATCCCCGCTTGCCGCTTCTAACACGTCGCTCCCCTGTCCTCCTCCAGCCCTCCTTACCCCTCCCTATTTTCATTGTGTCCGTCCTCCCTCGTCATCCCTCCTCCTCTGCCCCTCGCTGACCCCTGCTCCTCCTCCTTCCCCCCGGCGACGACGATGACGCGACGCCGACGGCGATGGCGCGATGGGTAACGCGGCGAGACATGGTGATGATGACGAACATCAACGGACGATGGTGCGATGACGATGGCGGATCTGGTCGTGATAATAATGCACAATCGATCGATTTTTCGATTTTTGCCCGCCTCGCGCCGCGCGACGACAACGGACGCAGCCCCTACTATACTACTTCTACGGACGTACTCATGTGACGATTCTCACACATGTACACTCGCACAAAATACAAAACTAAAATGTTGCACTACCCACCACCAAAAGCTGGAGGTGGCCAACACCACAACGACGTGCTGTTGTTGTTGCATGTATTCCAGGGAACGCAGCAATCATACGGGGAGGATGCAGAGGAGAAGCTGTGTTCGCAGGCAGGGCGAGCGATCGCACAGCAGCGTGCTTGCTGCGCCAACTAGCGGACATCGGACGATGCCGATTCACATTGATATTTAACAACATGCATCGCAACAACGGCCTGAATTAAAGCCGTGCTGCGTCCTCCTTCTCCTCCTTATTATCCTCCTCTCCTCTCCTCTCCTCCTCGCCGCGAGCTGGAGCGGGCGCGCCGCTCGGCTCCGCTCAGAGGCCGACGAGCCCGCCGCAATGGGGGCAAGGCGAGCCGCCAAACCGCGACGGGCACACGCACACTTGCTTGCGCTTCTTGGGCACGGGCGGTGGAGAAACTGCTGGCGAGTCGCATAAATTCCGCCGCCGCGCCAGGCGGCTGGTGGGCATGTTGACCGTCACCTCTTTGGCTTCATTGTTTTGGTATTGTTTGGATATCATTATTCGTTACTCCTCATTTGGATATTATTATGCTTGACTCCCCCTCTTCTCTTATCATCATCTCGTCTTCACCCCCCCCTCTCCGCGTCCTTCCCCTGACCTATTCTCCTCCTCCTCATCATCCTCCTCATCTCGTCTCCTTCTCCTCCTCATCTCGTCCCCCTCGTCGCCCTGGCGGGGTTGTAGTGCGCGCCAGCGCGCCTTGGGCTAGAAAGCGCCGCCGCCGTGGACGCGTTCGACGCGGTGGCGTAGAAGAGCTCGTCGTCGGCGATGTTGCTCAAGATGAGCACGTCGCCGTCGTTGCCCCCGTCGCTGCGGGCCGCGGTGTTGACCGCCTCTCAGGCCCAGAGATTACAATAATTACATTCTTTATCATCCTCCTCTCTCCTCCTCCTTCTCCTCATCCTCCTCCCTCCTGCCCCCTCCTCCGTCTTCTCCCACTCCCCCTGTCCTCCTTCTGATTCTCCTCCTCCCCCTGAAGAATGGGCCCCCCCTCCTCCTCCTCCTCCTCCTCCTCCTCCTCCTCCTCCTCTTCCCCCTTGTCCTCCTCCTCTCTTGCCCATCCTCAGTACAATCATTCTTCTCCTCCTCCCCAGGGCGCCCGATAGCCTCAGGGATGATGATCATCTGATCGTCGCCCTCTTCGGAGTTCACGTCGAAAGAGGAGGAGTAGAAGTTCACGTCCTCTTAAAGGAGGTGGAGGAGGAGCAGGGGGAGAAGAAGAGGGAGGATCAAGAGGAGGAGCAGGAGGAGCAGGAGGAGGAACAGGATGAGCAGGATGAGCCCTCCTCCTCGCTGGCGCCGCCGCGCTCGTCAGGCAAGTCCAGCGCGCCTTGCTCGATCTTCTGGTCGAGCTGGTCGATGAGCCACTGCAGCAGCCTCTCCCACTCGCGCGGGTGCTTGTCCGCGTCCACGACCCGGCGACGCGGGCGCAGGTACACTGGCACGACCGCATTCCGGCGCTGCTCCATGAGCAATATACCCGAGAGAGCGAAGGGCTTTTTTGGGGCAACAATTGTTTCTACCTCCTCCGTTTTCCCCACCGACCTCCCACCGACCTCCTCCTCTGTCTTCCTGTCCTCGTCCTCTCCTCCTTCTCCTGCTCCTTCTCCTTATCCCCCCCCCCCCCCTCCCCTCCTCCTCCGCCTCATCTTCCCCCCCTAACGCCATGTCCCAAAAAAAAAGAAACATTTCGCCCTCTCAGCGGGGTAAACCCGCGCCGCCGGGGATTGCGCGTCGATCGACGCGCGCACTCAAATTCGAGCCAAAACGGCTATGCATAGGGCAGCATATGGCCCCGACCACGCATAGGGCCCCATAGAGGCCCATAGGGCCCCCGCGCACGCCAGTTTTTCCAGCGGCGCCCCGTCGCGGCGACAAAGAAAAAAGCCCCCACCCCGCCCCCAAAGGCTGACAGGCGCCCCATCTTCTCCAAGGGCGCGGCCCCCTTCGTCAGTCAGTCAAGGCCCCGGGGCCCCCTGCCCCTTCAGTGAAGGAGCCCCCATTCATCGTTGAGTGAGTTTCAGTGGTGACTGGCGCCCTTGAATCGATCAAGACCCCCCCCCAAAAAAAAATGAAAACATCAATAACAGAGCATCTTGGCTCGCTCAAGACGGCGCCGCTTCTCCAACGCGCTGGCCCAATATGCCCCCCCCTCTCCGTCGTTCTCAAACGACGGGCGGCGATGAGTAGGCGAGGGGCGGGGCATGGCGGGACGGGGGGGAGGGGGCCCAGGGATGAGGGGGAAATGGAGTCGACGGAGGTGAAGGAGGCATACAATGATGATGGGGGGACAATAAGAGGGCGGATGATGAGGGGAGGACCCCAGGAGGAGAGGCCGACGACGACAAACGAACAACGACGATCGCTGTTGGCCACCGCGCCCCACGAGGCAGCCCGACTTCCACGAGGTCGCGGAGCAAGCTGCGCAGCGACCGGCGACCCGCCGCGCCCTGCGCGCTCCG